GCACTTGAGATGAATCTTGAAGAAATCTTAAAGATGAATCTTGTAACTGCAAGTTAATAGAAGCGATTAGGAAGAATATTCCAGATAGCTAGTGTAAAATCACTAAGTTGGGAGATGGAGTGTTATGTATAAGGAAAACCAAGAAGCCTGGTTTGATTGGACGGCAGATTGCATAAAGCAGACTAATATGTATAATGTATCCTGAATAATTCACATGCTTTAAAAAATAGCTCTATACAATTTAAGGACATGTGCACAAAGGGTGCAAAAAACAAATGATGCAAACTGTGCTACTGACCCCTTGTGTAGAGAGCAGGACATGACGAGACTGAGTGTGAGAATGAGAAAGAGAAGTGAGAGAGGGTTTGGGAAAGGGAATGGAGTGGGGAGAAATGAAACAAACATGAAGAATGAGGCTGTGTTTTATCCAAACAATGTGAAATGATGGAATCTGTAGTTTGAAGACAGATATAATGCTTTAATTTGTTTTGCCCTTTATATTGTATCAAGGCAATTTTTTGTTGTCATCTCCCTTAATCTGCTTGACAGCCAGCCCTCTGAAGCCAATTACAAATTGCATTATTTTGGAGTTGGAAGAGGATTTGGAGATAATTGAGCCCAAATCTCCTTTTTGGCAATGGAGGAAACTAGTCTCAGAGACATAAAATGACTTAACAAGATAATGTCAGTGTGTGATCTGAGGGTCCTGGATATCTCTAAGACCTTTCTAAGGAGCCCAAGAACAAAACTACTTTATAGTAATTCCAAGACATTTTAATTTTAATGGTAGAACCTGCATACATACAATATATTACCCATATAAAAGCTCCTCTTGGGAAGGGTTCTCAATAATTTTTTAAGAGTGTAAAAGGATTCTGAGACCCCAAAACCTAAGAATCTCTCTGGTCTAAGATTATTCTGGATTTTTCCACCTCTTAGTAACTGCAAGCTGCTTCTCCCATTAGAGAGTTCCTCATGGAGTTCCATTTTAAGGAAGTACCCAGGCTGGCTTGCCTTCATTCCTTTCCAATTCTGCTTTTGACTCCCTAGATTTCACCTATATGGATATTTTTACCTCCTCCCTTCCCCCCACCCCAATTCTCCCACTCCTACCCTTCCCACACTGCTTAACTCCTTTTTCTATGAGGTCTTCTGCCATTAGAATATAAACTCCTTAAGGGAAGGAACTGTCTTTCTTTTTGTATGTATTTGTATCCCTAGTACTTAACACAGTACCTGGAATGAGGTAGGTGCTTAATAAATGCTTTTGACTAAAGTATGGACTAATTACCTGACTAGTTATGGTGAGAGGTTGAATTAAAGGAAGATTTCCTAACCCTCTTCACCCCTGCCTTTTCACTAAGCAGTGCTATCATTGTTAGTGTGATAAGTCTGACTTTGATACTTCCATATATCCATTTTCTCCTTTATGGGGATTCCTATTCCCCATCCCAACCCACCACTGGTGCAGATTATAACATATTCATAACTTCTGACCACATGTAATTTTTGCCCATGACCTCTAATAAATATGACATAGAATCTCTATGGAACAACTCATTAGAATTTTTAGTGTTTTATGTGTACCAGTAGGGCACTTCACATAATGTCTGTTATCTCAACTCTTAAACATGGCCAGTCTACCTCCTTTTTTGGAGGAATGAAGGAGGAGGCAATCAGGGTTAAATGACTTGTCCAGGGTCACATAGCTAGTAAATGTTTGAGGATGGATTTGAACTCAGGAACTTCTGACTCCCGTGCTGGTGTTCTTTCCTCTGGACAGCCTAGCTGCCCCCCGGCCTCCTTTATTGATAATATTTTCTTGATGACATATTTTATGATACTTCTTACTTGCAAACCTTCAGTGTTCATATGCTAAAGCCTACTTATGCACATCAAGGTTTTTCCATTGCTCTCTGGGTCTTCTGGAATTTTACTTCTTCAAGGAATATGGTGTTTCATCATGCACAGTCACACAGTATCATCTAAGGAATGTTTGTGTTTAAAAAAAAATGTGTGAGTGTATTTCTGTGATAAGAGTAGTTGGGAATCATTGATATTTCTGCATTAAATGAAACCCATCCTCTTATCAATTTTTCAGTTTTGTGCTTAGGTCATTGTTGTGTCTATAGTAACAATTCTTAATTTTTTTTTTTGGTCTCAGGAGCCCTTTACACTTTTGGAAATTTTTATGTTTTTAAAAAATGTTGAATACCCTAGAGAGCTTTTGTATATGTGAGTTATATCTGTGAGTACTTACCATATGAAGTTAAAGCTATTTGAAAATATCTGCTTATAAATTCATTCAAAATAATAAGCCCATTATATAGCAACATAAATTATATGATTTTATGCAAAATAGCAATATTTTCTAAAACAAAACAATTATTGGGATAAGTGGCAATGATTTTCTTTTTTTGCATATGTTTCCAAAGTCTTGCTTAATGAAAGAAAGCCATATTCTCACCTTTGTTTCTGCATTCAATCTATGCTGATACACTGTTTCAGTTGAAGTATATGACGGAAATCCAGCTTCATACAGATATGTAGTTGGAAAAGGGAGTAGCTTTTTTACAGACAAATAGCATCTTTGTATTATTATGCAAATAATTTTGATCTCAAAGATACCCCAAAAGTGTTTCGGGTACCCCCAAAAGTCCAGGGTCCACACTTTAAAAAATACTGGTCTACAGTACTTATTCATACTTTGATATTTTAATGGTTGAATGATCTCATCAATGTTGGTATTGACTCCAGTGGTACAGATCATAACCACAATGTTTGGCAAACAGTAGGCACATAATAAATCCTCAATGACTGATTAAGTGATTTTAGTACTCTTTTAGCTTTCTCACTCTGACAATTGCCTTATTACATTTATACTTCTCCAGGAAATTTTAATAATCACAGTTAATATCTATCCCTTTATCTGTTCCTAATGTTTCAGAATCAAGAGCTTATTTAGACAGGCCAGAATGAAGCTTTTAATGTTACATACATATTCAGTATATTCTTCTCATCTTTATTCAGTCTTATGATTTGATGTTCATTTTGATCTCTGTTGTAATAAGTTCATGGTCTAATTACACTCAGATATCTAGGTAAGAAATGACTTCCATGTCAATCACCACTTGTTACTGGATATTTACAAACCTCTTCCCTATGTTGAAGCATAAATTAGGACCTTTGTGAAGGATAGGACATAAGACTTCCATAATTAGCATTTCCCTCCACAGTATGTGTTTCTAGTAAAAATAACTTCTTGTGTTGGAGAAGTATAATGAAAGCAGAAAGAATCAACACTTCAGGATTGTACAAGGTGAAGACGGTTTATGTATGGAGGGGAACTGGCTTTGCCTTACTGTGTCTTTACTGCTAGCACAAAGATACAAAGATGTTTGGTTGATTCTGGATGACTGCAGAGTAAGAGGAAAAAACTCCTTCTCTTCCCGAGTGACTTTGTATCCCTCAGGAATGTCTCCTTTCTGAATATCATCTTTAATTGCAGAGTAATAAATGAGTTGGAGTCCTTGGCCCAGATCTTGTCTATACCAATACATGGCATTATGGCCCAAATTCTGTTCACATTTTAGTGTCACTTCCTGTCCCATTCTTGTGACTATGTGTCTTGGGCTCTGGGTAATTCTTGCATCCTTCGCATCCATGGGACCTATGGTAGAATCAGAAAGAAGTCTACAGAGGGCACTGATATTGAAGTTCCCAAGGAAAAATTGGAGTCAGAACTTGACAAGCCTAAGATGAAATCTCCCTCTCTCACCTGTTCCCAGGAAATAAATGATGACAGACCAGAAGAGCTTGGTACTCATGGTAAGATCAGGTCAGGAATTCAGCTCCTTTCCCACTCACTATTCTGTCTAAGAAGAAAGCAGATTGAAGAAAGTGGAGCTCTGGAGCTCTCCATCATTCAATTCACAAGCTTTAGCTTTAAAACCTTTACCTTACTGAAGTTCAACATGTCCTTCATAGACGAGCAGGAACAGTCCACAGAGGAGGAGAATGAATCATAATTTCTAGGCTAGAGTTACTTTCAGAAGAACACCATTTGCTTTTAAAGGTCTGTAGGTGGGGTTATGATTTGGGTACACATGACAACATCAGTTATTGCAGTGGTGATCTTGCTTGGTTACTTTGGGTAAGATGGGTGTGGAACAAGATGCTCTCTAAGAGCCCTTCTAGAGCTAAGTCTTGAGTCTAGGATGGCAAAGTATTATTGTTAACTTGTTTTCATATCCCTTTTTCTCGAGGATGAGTTAATAAGGAAACTCTTGCATAGTAAAGTAGTGATTAGCTAGACTTTAATTTCAAAGACTTTTCCTTTCTAACCTGCAAGACTGAAAAGCACTGTGTGAAAATTTGGCTCTTTAAAGGAGATAAGTCTTACACAGAGATTTATTTTATTTCTTTTTTTTTTATTCTCGATTGTACACGCAACTAATAAGATGGGCATATTCTTATACACAGTTAAAAAAGAAACAGATTATGAAACTTCAAATTGCTATTATGTACACCTTGATTTTCTTTTGAAATATATTTTTCAGCATTTATTTTTCAAAGCTGTTTTTTCTTCCTGTCCTTCCTTTTTACTCTTCTGTTCATTAAAATATGATTCTCTGACCCTCTTTTTTTTTCTAACTCTTCCTTCCTTTGTCTCTCTTCCTTCTTTCCTTTTCTATGCTTATACCCTCTTCACTATCCCAGACCCTCAACTGAAAAAAGAAAAAAAAACCCTCGTAACAAATACACATAGTTAAAAAGAATACATATCCACACTGGCTGTGTCTGAAAACATACAGGGAGTTAATTTCTCACACTGCATCTCTGAACTTTCTGACAAGAAGCAAGTAGCATGTTACATCATTATTCCTAGGGAAGTGCTTGATCCATTTATCAGAGTTCTTAAGACTTTCAAAGTTGTTTTAATTTACAATTATGTTGTCATTGTACCAACTGTTTTCTTTCTACTACTTTTTCTTCCCTAGGTATCAGTTCGTGTCATTTTGATGGAACAAAAGGCTAGCCGATGAAGGTCCAGTCCTGGGAGCATGTACATATGGTAAGAGAAAAGGTCTTGGGGCAGGTAGGTGGCACAGTGGATAAATCACTGGCCCTGGAGTCCGCAGGACCTTGTTGAGGGCCAGAACTGGAGAGTCTAAATATGGGATAAGGAATTTAGGTTAGAGATTGACTTCTTTCCTTTTTCTTACCCATAAGGGCTTAATTATTCAGAATCTTTGGCTCACCAATTTCTGGTGCCTGAAGGTGTTAGAATACTCTCACCCATCCTTGAACCTTGATAGCAAGCAGGTGTGTATAATTAAACTAACACCTTAGGGCTGGGATTAGCCACAGCACCTACAGAGGTGATTGTTAGCTTTCACTATTTAAACTGGACCCTCAGAATAATAAATGGCTCAGTCTTTCCCTGATCTCACCTGGCCCACATTTAGTCATTTCACACTTCTCCATTTGATACAATACTTAGTCCAGGGCAACAGACCTGAGCTCAAATCTGGCCTCAGATACTTGATACTTACTTAGCTGTGTGACCCTGGGCAAGTCACTTAACCCCATTGCCTAGCAAAGAAAACAAACAACAACAAAAAAGAGAAAGAGAAAAGGTCTTTTGGCTGTATACAAGGTACATAATCCAAGAATGTTACACTTCCACTAAAGTTAAAAAAAAAGGCAAAGATAGCAATCATAATCTCAGACAAAGCAGAAGCAAAATTACACCTAATTAAAAAAGATAGGAAGAGAAATTACATTTTGCCCAAAAGGCAAGATATAAAATAATACCACACAAATCACCAGTATTTCTGTATAATATCAATAAAATCCAGCAGGCAGAGATGGAAGAGTAATTGCTTTTAAAATAACTGTAAACAGTGTGAAATACTTGGGAGTCAACCTCCTGAGACACTCACAAGAATTCTATTACAAAATACTTTTACATAAATAAGGACAAATCTAAACAATTTGAAAAATATCAATTGCTCATGGGTAGGCCAAGCTAAAATAATCAAAATGACAATGCTACCTAAATTAATGTGCTTATTCAGTGCTGTGCTAATCAAACTAGCAATGAATTACTTATTAGAGCTAGAAAAAAGAGTAACAAAATTCCTATGGAAGCACAAAAGATTAAGAATATCAGGACAATCAATTTTTAAAAATGGGAAAGAAGGGAGTCTAGTGGTACCAGATTTCAAACTATATTACAAAGCTATAATTGTGAAAAAATTGGAATTGGGTAAGAAATAAAGACATTCATTAATTGAACAGATTAGACATACAATATTCAAAAGCAAATGAGCAGAGTAAACTAGTGTTTGATATATCCGATGATCCATTCTATTGGGTCAAAAGCTCACTATTCATCAAAAACTGTTGGAAAAACTCAAAACCAGTGTGGTAGAAGCTATGTATAGACCAATATCTAAAATCATATCAAGGTAACCTCAAAATAGGAATATGATTTAGACATAATGAGTATTATCAAAGGAACTTAGTGGAACATAAAAGAATTTATTTGTCAGATCTATGGAGAGGGGAAGAGTTTATGATCAAACAAGAGAGAAATTCACAGGAGGTAAAATGTACAATATTGATAATCTAAAATTTAAAATTTTTGCACAAACAAAACTAAAACAGTTAAATTAAAAGAAAAGTAGGAAGTTGAGGGGGAATGGTTGCTGTTAGTTACTCTGGTAGAGGTCTCACTTCTAAGATATATGTGGAATTTAGTCAAAAATACAAGAAATTCCATTTCTTAATTGAAAAATGATCAAAGGATATGAATAGATAGTTTTCACAGGAAGAAATATAAGCTATTGATAGTCATATTTTTAAAATGCTCTAAATCACTAATTAGTTGAGAAATTAAAATTAAAATAACTGTGATACTACCTCATACCCATCACATTGGCTAAGATAACAAAAAAAGGAAACTGAGAAATGCTGCAGGTCTGTGGGAAAGCAGATACTCCAATGTTCATGGAGTTGTGAATTAGTCCAACCACTCTAGAAAGCAATTTAGAACTAAAAAGTTATTAACTACACATACCCTTAGAGCCAGCAATACTCCTACTAGGACTATACATCAAAGAGATAAAAGAAAAGAGAAAAGGATCCATATATAAAAATATGTTTATAGCAACTTTTTCTGTAAGAGAAAAGAGTTGGGAGCAGCTAGGTCATGCAGTGGATAGAGTGCCAGGCCTGAAGTCAGGAGGACCTGAGTTCAAATCCTGCCTCAGACCAAACACTTGACACTTACTAGCTGTGTGACCCTGGGCAAGTCACTTAACCCCCGTTGCCTAAAAAACCCAAAAAAACAAAAAAGAGAAAAGAATTAGAAATTGAGAGGACCTTATCAATTTGCGAATGGTAGAAAGTGTTATGATAAATGAATATAATGGAATACTACCATGCTGCAAGAAAGAATGAAAGGAATAGTTTCAGAAAAACCTTAGAGGATTTATATAAACTGATGCAAAATGAAATGAACAGAACCACAACAATTCATACAATAACAGCAATATTGTGAAGATAATAAACTTTGAAAAACTCAGTACCACACTGATCAAACACAATTCTGAAGGATTCATATTGAAACATTCAATCCACCTCCAGATAGATAGCAGATGGTCTCAAAGTGCAGGTTGAAGCATCAGTATATTTTTGGCCATGGCTAATACAGGAATTTGTTTTGTATGACTATACATATTTGTAATGGGTTCTGTATTTCTTCCCTTCTCAATGTGTGGGGGAGGTGAAGAGGAGGAGGAGAGAATTTGAACCTAAAAAAAATGAAATTGAATTTAAGAAAAAAAAATCGAAAAGTGAACTACAGTGCTTTATGTTGTGAGAATCACTGGCAAATGGTTATATTTTACGTGTGTGTGTGTGTGTGTGTACGTGTGTGTGTGTGCATGTGTGTACTTCTTATTATTATAATTCTTTAATATTCATAGTAAAATTTTCAACCTGTTAATAAATTTCCTTGCTTTGAACTATGATAGTTCTATGATGGTTGCTATGAATGTATGATGGTTCATGCATAAGAAAGAATGTGATCCTAGCAGCACTAGGCATCTTACTGTGTCAGCATTAGATCCCAGAATCCTCAAGCTCTAGAGTTAATTCCTAATGATGTTTGCTCCTCCAAGAATTAAGAACATTTTATCTGGAGATCAAGATTAAGAATTTGGAACAGGAGTAGCTAAATTCTTCTCAAACTCCATGAAATAAAATTTTAGTGCATTTGAAACCTTGGGATGATTCTTAGGGAATCAGCTAGAAGGAAGAAAGGAAGGAAACACCCATTTATTAAGTACCCACTATATGCCTGGCAATATGGTAAGCACTATAAAAATACTATCTCATTAGATCCTCACAACAGCCTTTGGTTGGGGGGAGAGTTAGGAGTTATTATTATACTGATTTTACAGTTGAGGAAACTGAAGTAGACAAAGGATAGGTAAATGAGCTGCCCAGGGTCACATAGCTAGTAAGTGGTTGAGGGTGGATTTGAACTCAGGTCTTCCTTACTCCAGAACCAGTGTCCTCTCTCCTGGATCACCTAACTGCTACTAGATTGGTAGTATTGTTTTAGGTGGGAGTCTAGAATAAAGTCTGTGGAACTGAGGCATCTGAACTCAAGACTTACCTCTGAAGCTGTACCCTGAACATAAGTATAGATGACTTTAATTGCCATATGTATAGTTTTCAACCATTTCATCCTTAAATCTTTAGTAATGTAACTTGTCAGAAAATACATGGTTAAAGGTTTTCTAGGAGAGGAGCCCTGGGAGTTGTGGGAAGGCTTTTTTCTTGAGGCTTTAGCTACAGAATGTGCTTGGAGGGTCACACATTCACTCATGCAGATGAGTGACCATAGCAATTCTCACCTCTAATACTATGGAGCAGCTGATGTCCTTTGGAGATGTCTTTGTTTTCTTCCTACGCTGGGTGTAGCATCTCTACTGGGCATTAGGTCATCTTTGCTGGGCATTGCTCAAGCATTGCATGTTTGCTTGACACTGGTGTGTTGGTTATCTCTGCAATGTATCTGCAGCAGGTTGGCTAGCAGCTGCTACTCTTCAGCTATTCAATCTCTTTGTGTCATTTGCTTCTCTCTGCTGCTATCTGTTAGGGTACAGCAGGTAGTACACATCTACCTTGAAAAGAATGACTAAAGTTCTTTTAGTTCCTATACCCTCAGAGGTCACAAAAGCTCCACTGCCTTGGTCTTGAGTTCAGAGGACTCCTATGATCTCATACACTGGAGCATTCATGATGAGTTTGCTAGAATAGGCTTTATTGAACAACACATCAACATGGAAAGACATGACAAGTTTCTAGATTGCCCAAACTACTCATGGCATAGTTTCTGGCCCTAATCACTTCTAAAACTTTAAAATGGACAGGAAGTTTGCTCTAGAGTAGAGGTTCTGAATCATTTTTTGTGTCTTGGACTGCTTTGGCATTTGGTGAAGTTTCTGAACACTTCAAGAGGGTCAAGTGGACAGAGTCCTGATCCTAAAATCAGGAAGAGCTGAGTGCAAATTTGGCCTCAGAAACTAGCCGCATGACCCTGGGCAGCTCACATAACCCTATTCATCATAGTTTTCTCATCTATAAAATGAGCTGGAGAAGCAAATGGAAAATTACTCCAGTATTTTTACCAAGAAAACTCCCAAAAGGGATCACAGAGAGTTGGACATTACTAAAAATGACTCAGTAGCAACAACAACTGGATCCCTTCCCAGGATGTTTATAAAATGCATAAAATGCCTTCCAAAGGCAGCCAATAATATTGCAATAGGCATAAAATACATTTGTTCAAAGTTTAGGGACCCTAGTTTAAGAACACCTGCTCTATAGGAAGGAGCTGAGAGACCTATCTCATTTGGAGACAAAGGACAGCCTCAGGTATGAGGGGTATATGTCTAGAAGTGTGCTCACAAAAGTTATATCTGAGGCAGTCTTTTGTTGAGATTTAAAGGGGGTTCACATAAGGATTTGATAGGAAAGTCACTGTCTGTATCATTTCATTCACAAGGACCTCTAGGTGCCTTAAATGGAGAGCACAAGCCTGGGAGCAAGGATTGGCAAGATGAGTACAACAGAAGAAGGACCCCAGGGCAGCATCTGTTCCCCAACAAGGGCAGTGTCTGTGTCCACCAAAATGGTTTGGGGGAACATGGAAGGGCTAACCCCAAGGCTGCCATCTCAGATTCTAGTTGGATAGTTTCCAGGCCTTTGCAGGAGGAGAGGGAAGCACACAATGGTCCTGAGAGAAGCTACCCCTTGGACTTGGCCCATCATTTGATTGAGCCACTCTTGATCACTAGAGGCACCAAAGCAGCTCAGGGATGCTAAAGTCAAGTCAACCAGGTGCTTTACATGAAGGGGAGGGGGTCGCATTCACATGTAGTTGATGTCCCACCTCTGATATCAGAGACAGAGAAGTCAATTAGCAAATGATAAGATGACAACCTGAGAGGAGATAGAATCATACTCCCTACCATCTCCAAACAGAGGGTTCCCTGCCCCCCACCATTACTACACCTTTGAAGGAGAAAAAGAAGCGCAATTAGAAGAAAATGTAGTGTGAATGAATGCAATTTGTTTTTTTGTTTTTATTTTGGACTAGCCCTCTGGTTTCAGCAGAGTAAGGCACTTCTAGTGAGGCCCTTCTGCCAACATAGACTGGCATTTTCTAATAAATCAGAGAACTGTATATCAGACCATTATGAAAGCTGATAGCTACTAGCAAAGGCCTCTGGGGTTTGACAGTCCCTCCTCCCTCTAAAACATCCCAGTGTGAGCCAACTCTCTGATGTGGTGACTTCCCTCCCTTCTTTCTTCCTATGCCAGGGCCAGTAGGTTTCTTCACAGCTTGGAGAAGGCTCTGCAAGGCTGTGTCTTTGCTGCTGCTACAGAAGTAGGTGGATGAGTCCTCTGTCTCCACACCGTGGATATGGAGTGTCAACTGATCTTTTGATGGTGAATCGGATTTGAAGCGCTGAGGAAGAGATTCATTTGAATTAATCTTTTGGTAAGTAAAATAAAACATTAGCTTGTGTCCTTTGTGGGGCTCCTGTTGGTACCAGTACATGTTATTATGGCCCAAATGTTGTTGACATCTCAGTGTCACCTCCTGCTTCACTCTTGTGACCAGGAATCGGGGTGTCTGAGTGATTTCTGCTTCAGCAGAGGCTGTGGGAGGGGAAAAAAGAGACAGAAGTTGGGACACAGAATCTGGCAGACTTTTGTTTCATCCTCCAGGGAAAGGGAAACCTCTGAATCTCCTCGCCCCAGAGGAACTATTTTCCTACTCCTTCCAGCACTCACCTGCTCCAAGGAGAAAAATGGAGACACAGCAAAAGAGTCTGTTGCCCATGTCAGGTCAGGGCAGGAATGGATTGGGTCCCTGCCTTCCTAACTCTGAGCTTTGGCCCAAAGATGTAGAACAAGAGCTTTGGGACTCCTTTGCTTGGAGGAATAATTTCTATTTATGGAACTGTTATTTTCATTGGCTCCCACAAAAGACAGTTTTTTTTTTCTTGGTGATGGCATATCAGATGGTTGGCTGTTAGCTTTTATGCCCACCACAAATGCTTTAGTTGTATTAAATCATCGTTATATGAAACATACTGAAGTCCTTCTTACACTGATTTGGCACAATGGCTGCACCTTCTCAGGCCCAACTTTTGGAGTATGGTAGTAACTACTTCACCGTTGGCAGCAAGGACAGGATATGTGCATAAGTTACTTTATGTTAGACAACGGAGGTACATACAGAGAAGAGAAGTGTTTTCTTTTTCCTTTCAAGGCACGTTATACTGGTATCTTCATCTTAGCTCTCCAGGTTGTCAGAATTTTTTTTTTTCTCTCTCTGACCTTAAACATCTCTCTTTTCTCTGGGTCTCAGCTTTTAGTCTTGGATAATAGTTTTCCATGAATTGTAGCAGCTATTGGTATATCTTTTCTAATCCATCTTGACCATAGTCACATCCATTCTGGACAAATGTAAAATTGGGGCAGGATCATTTTCCAAAAGATTTTAGGCTTTGCCATTGGAAACTACTGGGTTGAGAAAGACAGTTGCCTTTTAAGACATTTGTTCATTGAAACAGAAGAGCTGTTTTCCCGATACCTGGGTTTCTTGATAGGGTACTATTTCTTAGTAGGTTATTATAATGGAAAATGTTTTTGTTATAATTTATTTATAGTTTCATTGACTCTAAAGTTAACAAACATTCCCTCAAAAGTATTTCCATATACAAAATACACCAGAAATGGAGAATTACATAAGAAGACATGACTTACTATTACGGACAGCTTGATTTTTTTTAAGGTGAAAAATTATAAAATAAATTAAGCATTTATTTTCAAACCTGTCCTGATCACCTGCTTTTTCTAGTGAATTACCTAGCATTCTTATCTATGCATTTAGGATCTTATATTTGGAGCTGGCAAGTATTCTACAGACAGCCTATCCAGTCTGACCCCTTTGTTTCATAGAAGAGGAAGGTAGCTGGGGCCATGAGAGGTTGAATGACTTGCTCCAGGTCACAAAGGTTGTTTGGGAGGGAGGGAAGATTTAAAGGCAGGTCCTCTTACTCCAAGTACAGTGCTCATTTAAATTGGAACCACAGGGATAGATTATACTATGGTAAGGTCCCTTCCAGCTCAAACATTTCAAGCATCAGTGAAACCCTTGTTGTCTAAACTGAGATATTGCCTGCTTGCTAAGTTAAAATTTAAATAAAAGGCAAAACCCTGTTCTCTTGAGGATTGCTGACTACTGGGGTGTTTTGTTGTTGTTGTTTTTGTTTTTGTTAGCCCCAGAGCTTGAGACCTGCTGGAACGCCTGGGATGCCAATTTTGCATGAATTTCTAGCAGCTTCTGGCTTGTCTTTTCTAATTTGTCTTGACCATAGTCACAGCCATGCTGGATATGTATGAAATTGGGGCGGGATTCTTTTCCAAAAGATTTCCAGCTTTGCCGTTCATTGCAAACTACTGGATTGAGAAAGATAGTTGCCTCTTCACTTGTGCATTGGAAGGAAGGAGTTGTTCCTTCTTGCTGCATATTGTCAACAATCTTGGCCAATTCAATTGTTTAAAAATGATTCCATGGAATTTAAAGGTTTATCAGGGAAGATCGAAAGAGGGGAAAAAACACAATTACAAACGTGACTGATCTCTTGTGTTAAAGAGCAGGGCAGAGGTAGAGAACCTCTGACCTTAAATGCAGCCTTTTAACAGAATCCAAATCTTAGAAAACGCATCCTTTTTTCTGTAAAATTTAGATTCAGTCAAAATGTGGCACTTAAAGACCTAGAAGGACACATGTGGTCTTAAGGCCACAGGTTCCCCCCTCCTGGAGTAGGTTATGATGAGAGAGATGCTGGGCCATAATGACAAATTTCAATAAAAGAAAAAAAGATCAGGAATGGGAATGGAGAGGAAAGTAAAAAATCCAAACTGAAGAGCAAAGCAGCATTGTACCCAAGTGATGGGAAAGAGCAAAAATGAATATTTGTCAGAATATTGGAATACAGTTATAATGCATTTTTAACTCCACAAACACTTTTATTATCTCCTTTTATTTTCTGAGGGAAGTTACATATATTACTGTTCAAAGAGAATTTAAAGATCAGTAAGTCCAAACTCCTGTTTGTAAAAAGGCTGACTCTGAGGGCTAAGGGTAAAGTGACTTGTATAAGGTCATACAGCTAGTTAGGGGCAGAGCTGAGGTCCTCCCCACTCATGCCATAGTATTTCCACTAGGCAATGTTCATATGATTGGTCCATGGATACAAGTCTTAATTTTGTTTGGTGAAGGGTTAAGAGGAGAAGGGGAATCAATAGCAGGGAAATGGTTGCTGTGAAAAGAACCCCTTCCTTTCTCCTGACTTTGTGCTCCAGAACTCTGTATATCTGTGGCTTGTGATTTCGACAATATTTCCTTCTCGAAATTTATGCTTAATGATGGAATGATGATCAGGTGTCCACACTAAATTCCACAATTATCTGATGATGGGCAGCTAGGTGGTGCAGTAGATAGAGCACCAGTCCAGGGATCAGGAGGACCTGAGTGCAAATCCAGCTTCAGACACTTACTATCTATGTGACATTGGTCAAGTGAGTTACTATTAATTGCCTCCCCCCCACCTAAAAAAAAATTCAGTAAGTATAACACTGTGACACCGCCACCCCCAGGAGCATGGTGCCACCAGATTGACTAAGGAGGGCATGCTGGCCAGACTGGCACTGTGGAAAGAGTAATGTATCTGGAGTTAGAATTCCCCGGGCTTAAATCCCAGCTATGCCGCTCACTGCTTATGTGGTGTTGGGTAAGGTTGAGTCAGTCACTTTCCTTCTCTGAGTCTCAGTTTCCTAATCTGTAAAATAAAAGAGTTGGACCAAGTGGCTCCAAAGGTGACATCCAGCTCTAGATCCTTGATCCTATGAACAGATCTTGGGTGGAAGGCACTGGAAAAACCAAAAAAAAAAAGTGTCTGCTAATTGACAGTGGCTTCTAGGAGTTGATAACCAGGATGGACTTAACTGACTCAGTTTGGGGTGGTGGTGGAAGGGAAAAATGGGCAGCCAACCTTGGCTAAGAACATAACTTTGTATCAGTAGTGGAAACTGAGAGCCAGGCAGATCTATTTTTGTTCCTTTGGTGGCTAGCTGAGCTCAAGGTAATTCAGCTTGTACTAGAGATGAAACTAGAAGGGTGATACGGGCTTTTCTTATAGCTTAGGAAAAATCACCTAAGCTAAGAACTGATTAGACTTAGGTGGCAAAATACAGAAATTATTGGCTTAGGAAACTGACTAATACTCATCTTCTAAATTGGGCAATTAAAACCAAGAACCTATGAGTTTGATCCTGATACCAGGCTTTAAAATCTTAGCTCAGTTGAGGTTATCTGATTTTTTTTAATAGTTACTTAGAAGAAGTAGGGTTCAGTAGTAATGGGACACAGACTTTCCTGGGGACAAGACGAAGGGTTTAGATGATTTAGAAATAGCAGTAGTGAAATAGCAGAAATGCCAATATGTCTCATCAACTCTCAAGCTCTCTTCTTTAAAACTCCATGTTCCTTAGATTCCAAACTTCTCTACAGACTATGGAAAGACATAAACACTGCTCAAGTCTATCATAGCAGTTGGTTTTTTTGTTTGCTTGTTTGTTTGTTTTCAATTCAGTTGAATTCAATAAATATTTATTAAGCCAGTGTCCAAGGCAATGTGCTGGGAATCTTCACCTCTCACAGTCTGTTCTGCTTATCCCAACCCACCCTCTTCTCAGGTCGTCTGGGACCCCATACCATTCCTTCGAGCTCAATAGCTATTCACTGTAGTGTCCCATCCAGGCCTTCATTCCATGGCAAAGCCCTAAGCTCTAAGCACTTTCCATATTGCGTTCAGTTAACATTTCTTTGAAGCTTTCTGCTACTAATCTGATGAATTAGTCCACATTTAATTTCTTCCAGAATTCTGTTATTTTGCTCATATGACTCTTCTGCTCCATACTTTTTTTTTAACACTTTCCTGTTATTTAATGATGAAAATTCAAATTCTGAATCCTGATATAAAAGGCCATCTATAAGTCTGCTGTTCCAGCTTTATGCCATACTATTTTCCTCTTCTTTGTTTTACACAAATTGCTCCCCCAGTCAGGGGCCAGTATTTTCCAGCCTCTGTGCTTTTGTCTATACTATTCCCTCTGCCTAGAATGATATTCCCTATACTCTTGCCCTCTATTTTTGGGGAGTGTATTCTATAAAATTACTAGAATCTGCCACTTGCTACTTGTATGATCTTGGGTAAAGCATTTAATCTTTAGGGTTTCATCCTTAAAATTATAGGTTTGGACTACATGACCTCCAAGCTCCCTTCCAACTTCGAATCTGTCATCCCATGATTCATTTATCTCTTCAGTCAGTAATGCCTACCCCCACATTTATCAGCAGGCATTTATTAAGCACTGGATATGTACTATGCTAAGCCAAGTCAGAACTTGTTATTATACTTATCGTGTATTATTATGCATTATTGTTATTTGTATTTATGTCATGTTCATTAGAACAGGTAATTTATCTGAATATCATAGCTGTCTTGGAGTCTATTACATACTAGGCACTTAATGTTTGTTGGACTGAATTTTTGTTGAATAGGTTAATATGCAAATTTTCTCACATGATATCTTTACATTTTAGCAAGGGCTGCTGGGAAACCAAGAATCACAGGGTCACAGAAGCAGATAGTTTGAAGGGATCATAGGTGTCATTTATACCAACTTGTAACCCACAAGGAACCTCTGCCTTAATATAAGCAAAGGAATAGATTATATGGTGGAATTTTTTTAAAAAATTAAATGCATGGATATAGAATGAGAGAGGCTTGCCAAAACAACAGTTCGACAAAAGGTGACGTGTAGTGCATTGTAAGCTCAATATGAGCTAATAGAGTGATATGGCAACAACCCGTGTTCCCCACCCCAATGTTGACACCCTGGGTCAAAAGTACATTCTCTGT